GGACTGTGTCTTTTCTCATAGTTATTACTTGGACATTTTACGGCGACGTTTCATTGTTACGTTTTTATAGCGGCGACAGCGCCCTTAAGATCGACGACGATACCAACGTGACACACAGTCGCGAATCTTTGTGTCGAATGCTAATTTTATACGCAAGGCTTTTTCGCGCATTGGAGGAGGGGGGGGGTTCAGAAGGGAAGTTAACGGTTTTATCGGTTGGAAAGGATGAAAATAAAATGAAAACAAAAATGCTGAAACAAATAAAAATGGGGATGAAAATTTTTTACAGCGTCCCTTTCTGTACTAGAAGTGGATATATGTATGCCGCTAGTAGTCAAACAGAAACGCTTGAAAAAGCCTCGGGATATTTGTTCGTTCGTGGAATAAATTAGGATCATCAGAAATAAATAAGGGCGTAAAAATTTGCCCAGAACCCACCCCAGGCGGACTGACGAGAATAAGGGATTCCTTTTTTTTACCCCTGCCGCGTCGTTATTCTCCCTCGAGCTTCTCGTACGGACTATAGTGGTAAGGGGGTGAGAAAGGAACTCCTACGGATGACGATGGGATAAGGGATGACGAGGGTGATCAGTAGAAAAAGGAACTCTTAGCTGTAGCACCTATAAAGATGGAGATCTATGGGATATTTAAGGCGGAGCGGCCTATTCTCATGAAACGACCTGTACCATCGAAGCGCAGTGTCGCGCGAGAGGTGAGCCCAGGATTTCTTAGCGTCGTAATTCACGCGCGACAGACCTCATTAACGGAACCGTCGCTAAATATGACCCCATAAATTATACTACTATATAGAAAACTTTTTTCCTTATGGCGTCAGCCCTTTCCCAATTTTACGGCTTTTTATTTCGTGATCGACGCTTTGATAGCGTGGAACATAGTCATAGTGGTGTCCACTGTGCATCGTACTAGAATACTGTGTCTGAATGTTGTGAACGTACCTTTACTTGGGATTCGATGAACAACGGAATATATATATTATATACCATATGTATTGTGACGTATTTTTACGCGATCGACCTCACCGGAAAATGCAAGACCGACCGGCGCACACCTTTACGCGATTCCTACGCGTTCCAGGCAACCCAGGGGCTAACAAAGCTCACTCTCGAAAATACCTAAGGTATTGTTGGGCGCCAGGTTCCAAAACGGGAACCACGTATCTGTTTCTACGATATGTCTTCGCGTGCCTACGTTGGCTAACTCAGCTACGCGGAGGCGGCGGGATTCGGAACAATAGGTCGGATGGGTCAGACGATCACGCGACACACAAAATTAGTCGGACACTTCGATCTCAAATAAATGGTTCGGTTTATTACAGAAAAATCGGCGGCGCGAAGCGCGACGATTTCGGACAATACCGAATTGATGAATTACAAACGTCACAGTATATAAATATGTACGGATACATATGTAGACATCGGGGAACAAATAGAAATTGCCATAAAAAAAAAATTCACAGGTTTTTTCTCACCTCTCGACACCCTAAGGGATGGCTGTACATATGGGACATGTATTATATAGGAGCGTATATGCACATATGTGATTGATATATAGATATAGCATATCAGTATCCAGATAGATACCTAGATAAATCTTGACACTTAATTTCGCGAGGATCACGCTTTATTTACTGAATGCTGATGATAACGGAGAGGCACTCGATATAGGGGTGGTTAGTGCATATAAAATTGGTTAGGGTGTTTCAGGGAAAATGGAATTTTGAAGCCCTCTTTGAATTTTATCCCCTGTGACCTTAAGGTACGTGCAAGCATGCTGAGCTAGTTCTCCATAATTTTCGGAATTACCTCTACCGGGATTTGCCCCCTCGATGCCTTCAGAACCTCCTACGTCCCCTACGCATACCCGCATTTCCGTTTACAGTCTACACAATGCAGTGTTCCATACCTGTATCACCCGGAGTTCACACCCGTTCAGCCCCATTGAAATCCAAGCATGTATCTACTAGAAAATCAAAAAATTTATCACTGTGTACTCGTCGTCTTCAGGGGTAATTTTATTCATTTGTAGATCCACCACCTGGTTATCGGGCGAGGCTGAATTTTTATTTTAGAAAATGTCTTCGAAGTGGAAAACTTTGTAGAATCTGTAAACGAGCCATCCCCTGTAATTTCGGTACTCCTCGCTGTTTCGTAGTATTTTATTTTTCATTCCCCTCTCGCAAATGTATCTTATCACTCGTGAAATAAAATGTCTACGGATCCTTCAGTGACCAAGAACATCTTGAACCCCTCGAGAACTCGGACCAGTGAATATGAAAGTCTTTTCGAATCAGATTCACCGATACCACCCCTCTCGCTGTTTCTTCGTCTATCGTTCGCCACCCTTAGCCCAACCCGGACTCTTATCACTCTTCTTCTCTATACGGTGTTCTCTCAAGTAAGAGAAATATTAGGAACTGTCAACCCCAGGGATACTTCCAGAACGATCATGGTGTACGATCCGAGTGCACCACCATATATTTTCCCTGCCTTATAGAGAAATAGTCTGCTGAGTATTCTATCCCAAAATACAGTTTAAGGGTGGTTTTTGACAAATTTCAAGATGTAATAGCTCGGATAAAAAAAGTGTTAACGAGTTAGGAGAAGTATAGGTAGGGGTAGATAGGGTTAGGGTGTATAATTTCCTCGTAGTACTTTTTTTTGCTACTCGCCATAGAGTTGTGGACTGAAAGTAGGAAGTCGAGGGAGGACAAATATTTCAAAAGAGTGAAGGAGGGAGAGAGAGGGATGCTGACACAGAAGGAAAGCTCTTTCTGATTTATTCGTTGACTGTAGATTTAGATCTGAACTGTTTCTGGCTGCTCTACTTGAGCTTCTCAGGGTTGCTCTTGGGTCCTTCCAGGAAACGAGGAGTAAATGGAGTGAACGCAACTACCCCTTTTTTTTGGGATAGTCGACTAGCACGCTTTTCCCCTACCTCTTTTTTTTAACTCGCCCTTAAACTCTGCATCACTCACGGAACCACCACTGGCGATTTCTAAAACACTTCCATTATATCATTCAAGATCGTAGGTCAGGAGTTCAGAAGGCAGTTCGTGCTAGTACTAGGTCTGTGTACAGGTACGGGACTGCTTGGCTTACAAATAAACGTACTAGTTAGTATTGACAGCTGTCCACGGTTACACCGATTGAACTCCATTTGTTAAGACAGTCCTGTCAATTGCAAGAGAAGTTGACCGTTTGCTATTGACAAGTCGTAAAGTTTGATCGAGCGAATTGAAAAAGGAATTTTCATAGTTTGCTATACCTGCTGCGAGTGCGAAAGAGATGGGCTCGTGGGGGCTTGCGTGAATAAGAGAGAGACATACATATAATCCTTTGAGAAATCATGGATAAACCCCTTTCTCGATTGGGTACAGTTACGACGGTATTTTTCAACGTCAATATATTTTGAACGATCTCAGTTATCGGGATATGATCGTGCAAGGCTTTCTATTCGAAATCTTATAAGGAAACTCAACATTTTTATGGGTTTTCCAGGTCATGAAGAATTTCAAAGAATTTCCATTTTTGTTATGAAAAAATGTATTATATCGCGATAGTCAATATCGTCGAAGTGGGACGAGTTTTCCTAAAGCATAAGGGACTTTGCGAAACGAGCTTAAAAAGTTTTCAGATTTTCTGAAAGCTCTCTCTCTCTCTGGGGTTATTATATCCTATAGAGTTATTAGGAGTCCTCGCGAGCATTTATGATCGTCCTAGCGGGATATACAAGACTCATAAACCCTATCGCAGAGATTCGAACCTGGCCGGAAAGCTTTGACGATAAAAAAAAGAAGAGAAAAAGGGAAATAGAACCCAGGAAAATAAGAAACTTCCACCTTAGTCAGGAGGACGGGCTTTCGAGGAGGATTAAAAAGTTCCTCGAGCTCCGAGTGGACTCCGTCGAGTGTACTTTTGGAGCTTGCAAGCTTCTCTACCGGATAAAGTTAAACGCCTCGAAATTGACAGTGGGACTTATCGATCCGTACCCTATATTAAATCGGTATCACTGCCGAGCTTGCAAGTCCGGAATAATTATTTTTCATTGCCGTCAATAATTAAACAAAATTCTCATATCGCTCGCTTGTTAATTAATAGGCTATTCGGAGCTCTTTTGAAAGCGCAAGCTCCAGAGTTTGCAAAATTTACAGAGCTTTTTTTTCAACTTTTGTCCCAACACCAAACGCGCGTTCGTATAGCACAACTGACGAGATGAAACTTAAGCTCGAAATCGTCATAAAATTTGGATAAGATTTGGGGGATAAAGTTATTGAACCTCCAGATTTTTTTGCTTTGTAGCTTATTTAAAAGCTCCTGAATTTTCGGAATATCTGGCTCTATGTATGTTACACGGAGTTTTCAATGACATTTTGTGTGGTTTACGTATTATAACATATTCGTAAGACAACTTGACAAGCTTTACGTTATATTGAATTTCCTGTTGAACACGTGACTGCGTACATATAGATAAATATATATATATAAATCACGCAACATAGTTCTGAAATGATAATGGTGGCAATTGTTGGGGTAGAAAATCGATCAGGGTGAATGGATGAAATTGACCGGAAAGAAAAAGGAATTGAAGTAAAAAATGGGAAACCCAAGCAAACAGATTGAGCAAGGATTTATGCAATTAGTATAGGGGATGGGGAATATGAATAGCCGTTATAAAAATTATTGAATAAATTATTCAAAATTATTATTAATGATTTTCAAACGATTATTATATCAATCGACATCCTGAAACGAAACCGTTATATAGGTGAAACATAGTAAGAAAATATTTTTCTAAACTTTCATGATGTATTGTATGTATTGTATTGTATATGTATGTATCACGATTGGATATCCCAAATTTGTTATATTGTATAGTATGCTCAATCAACGTACAGTATCGACTATTAACAGGGGATGAGAACGAGATTGAATTTCTATTTCATGATGAATTAATATATACCTTGCCTTTATTTTTTTTAGTTACCGGGGCCTCTATGGGAGTCACCTACGGCACTCAGCAACCCTACTGGATCACGAGCAACCCCCGAAGGTCCAACCGACCCTTACGTTCAACTACCATGTCGTACGCGGTTAGAAGAAGTGCGGAGAAGTCGGGGCCAAGTACCACGGAGAATTCGTTGGGGTTGATTCGTCGTCGTTTGGACCAATCCGGGGTGGAGTTTGTTATTGAGGATAGCGAAGGACTAGCCAAGGGGATGAACTTCAAAGAAGTCGGCGTACAAAAATTGACGAGTACCACGAGTACGTCGCAGCCCTTAGAAAATGATTCGAGCGGATCGACGCATGAGGAACCACTGAGTCTTCAGCTTCGTAGCCATCCAGTGCGTACCATTAGACTTTATGTGACAAGTTAAAGGGGACAAAAAATCATAGCAAAAGATCACATTAATCACTCAAAATGTTCTTACGCAAGCATCTAATGGTTTGCCGATACTTTGAAAAATTTTACCAACAGGAGCCGCTAGCCGCACATGAAACCAAAGTGCCCTCGGATGGGAATTCAGGCTGGACGGATATCGACCTGAGCACAGCGACGTCGACGTCGTCTTCCACCGCAGTGGGATTTCCCAGACGATACATGAGAGACACCAACAAGACAATATGTCATCAATTCGAAATTGGGGACGTGGCCAAGCATGAATTCTACAGTCCAAATTACCCCAAGAACTACCCCAGTAACGTGGATTGCGTTAGGGTACTGGAAGGTGAGTGTTGCTTTTTTGACCCTGGTGAAAAATGAAACTTCTACTGAAACCAAGAATTGCTGGAGATATAGGGTATAACCGTGGGATAAGTTTCATCTAGCATTCCATCAATTTCAATGAGGTCCAACGTTTGGGGAAGTCGTCCACGCTACCTTTTTAGGCGGAAGTCACGAGTAAGGCGGATTGAGACTTATGGATTTGCCAGACGACGGTTGGTTGATTGATATACGGTCGGCGATATGGGGGAAACGTGGGAGCACCAAAGTTTCGCGTCTCGATACAAAACGGATGTTTCCCCAAGTGAAATAACCCCATGATACTTCCTCGTGTGATACTATACCTGTTTCTAATGATATTAAAGTACAGTGGCACGGAGTGGTACACATGGATCTTTCGTCCTAAGACTATCTCGTACGTTGGAATTTTCCCAAAGGGACTACGAGTCTTCAGGGTGAACGATTCGTTCAAGAAATTTTCATGAAGTTACAGCTCTTTGTACCGTAACGCGATTACCCCATTTGCATGGAAAAGTAAAAAATACGTCCTTATCGCCAATATTTTTTTTAATTATATCCAAATGCCACCTAAGCATATATATGCTCCTGTAATAGTGACCAGGAAAATCGGGCGTATATATAATATATGCTAACGATGTAAATGGATTATCTTCCAAAGGAAGTGACGTCATGCTTCTCTATATTGGAAACAGCGATGTGCGACAACGCTCTATCTAGTACGTGCTGACTGCCTATAAATATAATAGAGGTGTGAGAAAGAGAGAGGGAAGAAAAAATTGGCAAGCCACTACCCCCTCCTGCCCGAAAATCATAAATCACATATCAACCAACGTCCTTTGTTCGACGCCTCGATACGTGATGTGTTTCGATAGCGAATACCTATATATGTGTATATACATATATATCGATACAGGACATGACGGTCAGTTTCCAGCTTTTCCAGGAGTGAACGTGAAAAATTGTGGCACAACGTAATAGAAAGGGGGAAAAAATAGCAAAGGAATACACTCAGTCTGGATAATTCCAATACCATTAGTAAATCTACTCCATTCAACTATACCTTTGTTATCGGTAAATTTTTCGAAAAGGGACTGTACCTAGGTCAACTTCACCTCTGATATGTATTTTTTAACGTGCTGGTCTCTGAAGCCTCGTCGCTCGATACTGTTTCCAAAATTTTCATGTGTAACCCTTGGACCTTGTGAATTTTGAGATTCTCGTTAATTATCGAAATTCATCATACGTTGTACCGTCAATAAATTTAATGAGTACCTGTACTAATTATAGCACAGATTTTCCTTATGGAAATACGAGTAGCAGAAGGGTTGGACTAGGTCGATAAAATGGACAGCTGGCTGTTATTTGAATTTAAGTCAGGGTCCCAGTGTCCCAGTATCCGATGGTAGAAGCTGTGTGGAACTCGAAGCTATAATCCAAAAATAGTTAGGAAGTCAGGGATCAGCTGTCACTGGACTGTCTCGGAGGGTCTTCAAGCTCGTATGGGTTCGGGTTATCCCCAAGAGAAATTTACCAGTTTCACAGTTGTGAAACAATCAATTATCCTTGAGGAAACTAGATTGAGCTTCGATAGATTATACTGTACATTGGAGTAAAATTGAGTCTCAGAAGGACGTTGGCGTTAGATCACTTAAACTTCAGAATTGGAAGTTCAAAATAGTGGGCACAAGTTGAATGTAGTTAACAAGGGTATCGACAACTTTCGTGACCGAGCTTCTGGACCGTATCAGTTCGCCAAGTGATGCTTACGTAAGATTATAATAACCTGAACTTCCTTGAAATGCAATCGTCAACTAGCTATAGTATCTTTAGGAAAAGTTCAATGCAATTTCCTTGTGAATTCCATACCCCATATATAGCATACGGGAAGACAGAAAATATATATTCATATTAAGTTATGTTATCGGAAATAATAAATGTCGAAGTAAACTATTTTTTTTTTAGAAATAAGCACAGCTTTTATCTAAAAAAACGGAATTTAAAGGAATATCCTTTATATCGGGCAGGAATAATAATAATAATAAAAAGAGACTCTTGGACACAGTTTGTCGTTCGGAAAACGTATGACGCAATGAAGAAAATTTTGTCAACGTCAGATCAGTCCGCGCATGCGTACTTAAAAAAAGGGAAATTTAATTGAAAAGTATAAAGACTCAGAACGATAACGCTAAAAGGGATAACTATTTACGAGTGAGATACCATTGACTGATAACAGTAAAGGAGCTCAAGATACAAGGATAAAGTTATTATTATTATAAAATATGTGATAAAACGTATTTATAGGGAAGCAGGGTCGTCTAGGCTCTAAAGCAGGTGTGCTATAGGTACTAACTGGCTTTGTTAGGTCGCAACTCGTTTGTCAATGCATAACGGCCGCCATTGCACTCCGAAGGTGATTACAGTATATTAAGCCAGCCTTGTAAATTACGTCACTAATTATCTCGAACCCCGTAGCCAGCAACCCCTTAGGTTAGGATTAAGGAAGTTTCACACTGCGCCCAAATGAATCTCCGTCACCATTGAATATTCGTGAATTTATTTACAAAATTTTCGTAAGCGTCAAATATTCGTACGGTTCGCTTAAAAAGTTTTTCTTTAATCGTCGTATCTCTCGCTACCTACAACTTCGATATTCCGCCTAAAGTTTTCAAACGTGCTCAATAGTAATGCCCGTCCGCATTCCCAACAATCTCGCGATATTGGCGTCGCGTCGTGCACGCCATCTAAAACTGCCCGGAAATTGAAAGATGGTACGTGCGATGTCAGCCACGACGAAATGCGCAACGTTAACACTCCTGAGAAACCGGAAATCGAATGCTCCGGCCGAACTCCCTATCAATTTGATTGTTCTTTACAGTAAAACAAAAAAGGGAGATTTGAGGGCGAGGGACGCGCGGGAAGGGGGACGGAAGGGGAAGAGAACCTACAGCCCGACCGCTATTTCTTGAAACCAGCTGACACGGTTGAACCTCCGTGTTATCTCTATGCGCCAAGATAAAATCGGGAATTGGAAAAATGTTGGTAAAAAAATTCACTGAAATCAATTAAATCACTCGTGTAAATAGAGTTTGTTGGTAATACCGGAAAGGGGCACTTGTATACAGTATGTATTGGTAGGCGAGAGGTATTGGCTTGTTTATCAAAGGTTTATTACTCTCTCTAACGTACTTACGTGATTAGGTATGTAGGCACAACCCCTATTCGGTATACGTAATTTCAAAAGGGTCGTCGAAAAATAATTAAAAGCCTTTTTCGTACGTTGACGGATAGATTGGGTTGTTTGCACTGCTATTATCGCTTGATGCCGTCACACGTATATTCCTATACTGTCTGACCATATACTGGATGTCACTACTATATATATCCTTTACCTTCTACCAGCTTTAACACGTGACAGTTTGTTTGCCGAACCAAGCAATAGTCTGGCTCCTCCCTTGGAAAGTATCCCACCCCTGTCACCTTCGTCTGTCTGTTCCTCTTTGAACTACTGAGATTTTACACAGACGCAAAAAGCTTCTCGATGTTATACGTTACTTTGACGGCACAGCTAGATTGCATGTTCATTCAATTAATTCTTCAGTATAATTAACGACAGGGAATGGAATTAGAGAAGGAATGATTGGTTTGATCAATCAGATTTTTTTTTTATGTAAAAGGCTTGGAAATTCTACAGAGAATATTTTACTCCAGAAACAGTATCTAAAATACTATGAAAAATAGTCTTGTTCTCTAATTTCGATATATACAAGATTATTCAGATTTTATAATGTTCCTGGTGCTGAATTAAAAAGATACTCTATCTATACTCTAAAGATTGCTCTATATCTTATATGACTTTTCATAGACTTTGGCTGCCACATGACTGGATGTTACTTTTTTTGTTTCATCATGTTCCCAACTATCTTTCCACGTGTACCTTTTGCTCATTAGACATTTCGTCGTCGATATATTCCTTGCATCTATACGTCCATGGTCTCCAGTGCTTTGAACGATGCATTTTCACGATCTAGGAAACTTTCTAATTGCCTGCTTCGTACCTACTAACCTCTATGACGAAGTTACGATATCATTATATAATGTGGGACACTTTTAAGCAGCTAAGCCACTCATCGTTAATGAGATCTCACAGTGCCTCCTCAGCTTCCCAGTGACGGCAGGTAGCTGGAGATTATTGATCGTACGGAAAACAAAAATATTCCTAGACACGTTCGTTAAATAGACACGCCTGATCGGATACTTGGTATAGCATACAGATATGTATTTCCTTTTAATTATCAAAATGACCGTCCACTTGGATTTCAATTGAGAATTGACATTCGCTAAGATCTGGTTTACATAGTTGTCGTTGAAAGGACAGCAAGATTTTAGATTGTTAAAAATTGACCTTTGACCCAGTACCTATCTGTAAGAGACTGGGGAAAAACCTGAGTAGGTTACGTGATTAAGGTGAAGTATGACGGATCAATTAAATTGATGAGATTTTTTTAATTTGATCTTACGTAACACACCCGACGATTTGCTTAAATAAATTTAGTAATCTTAAAGAAAAATGGGAAGTCAATTTTTAATGCTAGTTTTCATTATTTCATTATATACCTTTTATTTTCATATCTTAAATATCGCGTGAGATTGATGTAAAAACTTTTTTTCTCACTGCACTCCAACCAGCTATTTCTTTATACGAATTTCTTACATGCTTCAAACTTTTTGACGCGCTCTACCTCCTCCGTGGAAACCGATGCATTCTCCCTGCATACGAAATGCACGAATTTTCTTTCCTGTCGACACCACTTTACCCTCTTTTCCTCATTTTTACCATCAGAACCTCGATGATGGATCAGACCAACTTCCGGTCGACGTTTTCATTCCTTCCCGCTTCAATTCTTCCTACCAGACGAAGCTTCCGCTCTGCAATATTTGAACTTCGACTACGAACTGTATAGAATTCTAAAAGCTTTCAAAGTCTAGCACTGAAATTTAATTGGAATGAATTTAACGGGGGAAAAAAAAATACTTTTTTTTTAATAGCTAAAAACTAGTATAACCACAATTAAAAATAATTTAAAAATTCTTGTCAATGTATTCCAAATTCAAAATATACCTGGAGTAATACTTATCTCTAACGTGACGTCACTGGTACCCAAAACCCACTAAATCAGTATCACCAGCGTCATGCTCGCGGAGGAGGGGCTGGCGAACTCCTGAAGTGGGCCAGTAAATGAAATTATTCGCCACTCAGAAGGTAAGAGGCCATCAAAGAAACATATAATGGGATCTTACGAGGCTCAGTACCAACCCTCCTACGATCGTACAGGTCTGTTCATATTAAGATGCCTTAACGTGCAACCTTCCATTCCATAACATTAGTTACCAGTTCCATTATCAATGGATACTTATCACCCTGACGTAAAACAGGATGCAGAATCACTGTCACTGTTCTTACCCAGACGACAATTACATAATTAATGACAATCAAAATCAGATACTAAAGTACAGCTACAGTCACCCAAGCAAAGATCTTCGCTGATCCAGCAGCCAGTTAACGTTTAATTAGAAAATAAAATGGTGGACGAATAGAAGGTCGAAAAAAAAAATTAGAGCAAATAAACTTGCTCGTGACTCGTGAAAATTCACAAAGGGTCTCAACGGAGAAACTCTCAGCGTAAGGGTTGGACTATCGTGTCCTCTTGGCTGAACTTATCGCAAAGGGACACCTTCCCAGTTGCTCAATAAGCCAAGGATTATTTGTCAGTCCTAAGGGATGAAAGAGTAAACTCATCCTTAAGTAACCTTTGCAAGATCGGAACATCTTCTTAGGCGTTTTATATATTATGTGTTATCTCGTCTCAGAGGATCATTATATGTATACTGTGTTGTATGTATAAGGTACGTTAAGGTTAACTTTCTCAAGGTACTATTTATCCTACATCCACTATCAGCCACGAGGAAGTAAGCGCGATGATATCTGAACTATATAAGAGCAGGACCTAATCCTTGTCAAGCTAAAAGGATATCATCCGGTCCATCCCGTTATCCTGCCGTGCCAGGACCTGGTTCGTCGTCGTATCCTTATCCCCCGCGCGAGAGATACGCTTATTCCTTTCCTTTGTGATCCTTTTGACCTTCTCCTCTTTTTGACATCTTTACGTCATCCTGATCCTCTCCACGTCCCTCCCGCAGCATTTCGCCAAGTGTCCTTTAGAAGATCCTGCTACGGGTAAATCCTTTTCATGCTACGGCTATATCATCCAAATAATATCTAACCAATACCGGGTTATCCTTTGTGCCCTTGGACCTACAGGATGCAGGATATTCTTGCTTATGTCTTCCTCTCCTTTTTTTTTTTCATTCGTCCTTGATACGTTTTATTGGTCGAAGGATAATAATATCCTTGGGTGCAATGGAGTATGAGTTATCTGGTAGAATTTTTTTTATGGATATCCCGAAGCAGCCCGCAGGATCGTTATCCTTGGGGATTTTGGTTTTGTTAGTTACTGATAACTGGAATAGCCACGAGGATGCTGTTAAGCTTCGTCCTTACTGGGTGGATGGTTGGATATTCTTAAGAGGATCGCTGTATGCCAAATCTCAGTGAAACCTTCCGAAACTTTTATTTTTTTCCTACCAGATGTCATGGTTAACAACATCGGACCTGAAAACCGGTTTTTGAGAAAGTTCAAAACCGATCGCACCTCTTTTGCGATTATTTTGCGGTATCTCTTATGTATTATAGATATGCAGAAACGTTAGATAAAAATTTCATTAACTCGAGCACAGTGCTTATCGAGTGTACGGTGGTACGACTCGCGAGTTCTTCGGAATTCCAAGCGAATCACCGCGTTAATTCTAATACTAATCCCGATAATTATGCGAAGCTTACATTTCGCAAGAGTCTCATGTAACCATGAGATAATTAAGGATAATTCGTATAATTATCTATGGAGTTACGACGCCACGACGATGTAATATATAATACTATTCAGGATTAAGGCGCCAGGAACTTCTGAAACATCCTGAATTTATTTACATGTGATAAGCGATCCTAAAACTTGCTTTAGGTATGACAAAAATTTTATTAAATAAATAACTTTAGATCTCGCGATTTATTTGATCTGATATACAATTTCTGAATGGTTCTCCATACGTACGTATGGGACTATTAAGTTTTTCTAACGTTATATGCTTTCGTTTCTTTTCTATTTTTGGTTATTTGCCCCGTGATGCATGTGCAAAAAGAAAGACGAGAACAGTGAAATTTAACGTTAAAAAAAGTGCGACAACTGTTATCCCATTAAGGGAGATGCATAGGAAAATAATTTGAATAGGATTTTGCAATTTTGCATGTATATTTTCATATTTTTGTATCTGCCCGATATAAAGCTTCATTGTACAGGGTCATCCCCTATGCACTCCTCCGTGTCCGCAGCTACATTCCCGTTCAAATTTACATGAACATATTTCGCGTGGGCTTCTGAACACTGCCGCCAAGTCCCGGCTTCATTCATACGCGTCGCTAGTAATGGCTTCGAGCCACTAAAAATAAATGGTCATCAAACTCTCACGAGGAGCCATTATACGCAGCAGAAAGAAAAGCTTAATGTTCATCGCATCGAAGTCATACAGCGGCGTATACAAGGATCGAATTTTCTAGTGCCGGGCGATATCGAAGACATAAATAAGATAACTACTGAAATATATGTGCATGAGTATTTTTGCATTCGTAGGAATTTTCGGCGATTTATCAAACGGCTGACAACCGACTCCAACGCAGGGGGAAAAGCATACGCGTCATTATAAAAAAAATGCACGAGCTTCTTGTTCGTTTCGAGTGCCAGTCGATTCTGTCGTCCGTTAAAAACCCGGCTGAAGGAGTTATTTTTCATTCGGTCAAACGTCTGGTGTGTTGCCGGCTGGCTGCCCCGGGCTCGCAGCTCAAATAAACATCCTGTACGAGTCCTGAGTATCCCTGGGGAACTGGGCGTTGTCGAGTGTTCTTTGCTCTTTTCTTTTCTCTTTATTCTCTAATCTCTGTTTCTTTCTCTCGTCTTAAACGTACCTGTTAAGTGATTAACATCGCGTAACCGTGACTACGTGTCTCAAGCATATCCCACCCCTGGATGACGTCATATTTGCACTAGAAAATCTTCTCTTTTTTTTTTTTCAAAATGGCGAACATGCGATGAAAGTCAAGCGCTTGACAAAGGAGGAGGGGGGAGGGGGGAGGGGGGCAAAAATTCATGAATTATCTCAGCGGCCCAGCAGGTGTTGCCGACAATTAAAGAATTCCCAGTTCAACCCTTAATTACTGAACATCGGACCACCGAAGGTTCCTCAGCATCCCTAATAAAGTTCGCTATTGTTTCCTGCTCCGTAAGACGATTACGCGGGTGCGTCCTATGGAGGTTATGTCTGACATCCGTTCATAATTTTCTTATCCACCTAGTCTGTTCCAGCCCTTTTCTTTTTTTATCTTCTTTCTTCGTCTTCCACACTACTGGGAAGTCGGTGGCTGAGGAACGTGGTCCAGCGAATCCGGTTCTAGGGGATGGTGAATCCAGAGGGTCTCAGGTCGACTAGACGGAACCGGAAGATAAAGTGAATCCTAACGATCGACCCGGGGCTGAATAATTCCCGGATAAGCCCCGTACGTGCAGGGAAAGTGAACTCACCCCCTGCATTCCAATGATCTCATTACGAGACCAGGAACTACCCTAACCTACCCCCATTGCATATGTAGATACATAATGTACCCAGTACCCGTCGATATAACTATATATAAATGTGTATATATAAGATTGCCCTCAAAGAAGGATTTTACCTCGAAGCAAATGTTCGGTATATACAGATATATATAAATATACATAGGCAACCCCTAAGCAACGGAGATCTTGAGAACGCAAAAAGCTCCCTTAGCGGTATACGTATAAGCTGGAGGTCTGACAAAGTTTTTGCTGTGCTTCGACGACTCCCGAGACTCTTGAACAAAACATATTAAATGGAATAACGACGGTGACAATAATGGTAATGATTCTCGGTGAAGAGGGGTTGCTTAGTCCCGCGCTTATCAAGGGATGAAAATTATCCAGAGAGTAACTATCGATTAGGGAGGCTCTTAGCAGTTCTTCTGACCCCTATTTAATCAGGGGACTATAATTAATTTTTTTATTTCTTTTTAACTTGACTCACCACTCTTTTGCTTTCTCTTTATATAGCCGATACGGGGATGCTCATTAAGCTCGACTTTCGGGATCGCTTCCATCTGGAACCGAGCTTGAACTGCCGTTACGATTTTCTTAAAGTTCGGGATGGTCAATACGGCTTTTCCAACCAGATCGGCAACTTTTGCGGCAACAGCTATCCACCGGAACTCACGTCGAAGACCCGATTCCTCTGGCTGCACTTTCACAGCGACGAGAACATCGAGTACAGTGGTTTCAAAGCTGTGTGGAGCATGATACCCAGGCCCACGTACCGTGAGTATATTTGCGTAAAAATATTTTACATTTTTTTTCTTTAATTTTATTTAATTTTATTTTTTTTTTACTTGACTTCCAAAGAAAAAGTATTTACTTTTATCGCCAAATTTCAAGAATCAATTGAATAGAGGGTTTGCAGTTACGATATTCGGTTCTCTAGCTACATCCAGCCATATGCATAAATGTTTATTTCATGGGAACTCTGGGCAAAAGCTTGGGTATACGTAACTACTGTGTATAATACCTATGGTGGATATACAAAGCAGAGCGTCGAGAATTCTCATGAAGTTCAGCCATGCCGGCGATATTGCATAGTGTTCTAAACAAAAATAAAGAAGGATGCCATATTGCCTCTGGGATTAAATGAAGAAAAAGATGTGCGAGACGATATAAAAAAAAAATTGATAAGTACCGACCGACCCATGAAGATTCGCCTTTTTTTTTCGTGCACCTAACGAGTCTAAAGTGCTTCTGGAATTTAGTCGATTTATCCACGCTGCGGCACCCTGCAAATATTCCTGAAACCATTCGCATTCCAGGAACGACCACGTTGAGATTTCCCGATAGTTGGACACTTCCGGTACGCTCTTTACGTCTATCTAATATCGAGAGGTAGCCTGGAAGATCGTAGAAAATCGATTAAACCCGAAGGATAGTAGCGAGACTAGGGGTAAAATTAATACATACTCGCCAAGAGTCGAGCTATGAATACGCGACTCATCGGCACGCTTCGGGGTGGCGGTTTCGCGTAGGATATTAGCCAAGCCAATATCATGGGATAAGGTGTTCGGCTCACGGCGAGATTCAGCCCTTAACGGCCAATCCCTTCCTATCTCCCAGGAAGCCCAGAATATCCGGCAATCGAAATTTCATTTGGAAAGAAATGAAAGCGATATTAAACCCTTGAGAGGGGATGAGATTTGCTTATATCGTAAGAAATATACAGCCACCCCCACACCAATCCCTCTTGGCATTACCATACTCTCTAAAAATAAATCACTGAAATTTTCACTGATTATTTCAGTCGTTCGAAAATTCACCCGAGAAATACTGACTTCCCATTTAATGCACTGTTGAATCAATGGCTTCGTGCTATATGAATCCTGCACATTTGTGACGTCACCGTCACTCTTGTCACATTATCAGGTCGAATGCCAGTAGCTGCTGGCGATGCTAACTGGTCACAGTAACGAACACTGAATCCATACAGTGTTATAGTGTACTATTATAATAACATGGTACTTTTCTCCGCCATCTATGTAAATCAGGTTGACATATTAATACGATCGTGACATGAATAATTAATTTGAACGATATTATTGAAAATTGCATTCGCTGATTAATTTCTTTGAGAACATAAAAACACTAGTCCCTCATAGGCGTAATTATTGAATAAATAAGTCTCCGGGACTTTCGTTATTAATTCGACTTCTTCACAGCTGGGGTACCAATGGAACCGAAGCCTTGCGTAATAAACGTAACGGGAGTGGAAGCAAAGATCCAGAGCGATGACGTTCATGATCGAAAATTACAAGCGGAAAAGGATGGAATCCCTTTGGATTGCATGTGGGTGATGACCGTCGAGGAAGGGTACAAGGTAAAATATATGTATTTGGGATCCACGGAAAAGTGCAGTCGAGTTTAAAAACATGGTCGAAGATTTTGTGGTTATAAAACTTACTGTGTCTCCGACTTGTATGATTTGGTATAATTTCGATATTTCTTATGTTCAGGTTCAGATATCATTTCCCGTCTTTAAGCTGGACAAGCCGAACGAGTGCGACCTCAATTTTGTGCAGGTCTTTGATGGCAAGACAGATGACACTGCCAAGAGCAAAACATTATGTGGCAGTATTGCTGAGATTTTTCGTGCTGAAAGCAACGTCATGTACGTTCGGTTCTACGTCCTACCGCAGGCCTTCAACAGTACCTTCGAAGCTCTGATGACGGCTGGGCGGGAAATTAAGAGCACACAGGGTATGTAATATTTATACATGATATGGTAGTTGTATAAGCTAATACGTATAAGCTTATACGTATGATAGAACATGTAGAACTGTTCTGTGAAATTATTTCATTTAGCTGAATTTATATATATACATATATATAATGTTTAAAATAATCCAGTATACTATTCAACTGGAATGTATCAAATCAAGTGAAGCTGCTTTTGATACAGGAATCGAATGGGTAGGCTAACTTCGGTTGATACCTTTGAGTTGAATAATCAGAAATACTTAGAATAATTAAAGTTAATAAGTTAGTGTAGTTTGGAAAAATTTCAGGTGAAATTGGTCGCTCGGTATATAAATAATAGTTCTAGAATAGATATGCAGCGTGATACTGTATTAGCTTAGAGCGTCTTTTAGCACAGTCTAGTATAAGCTATACAGGGTGAAGCATTTAAATCGAGAATGTCAAATAACTTAAGAAGAAGGTCTATACTATATGAAAAAATGTTTCAAACAAAAATTGTATGGGTTTAAGGGGGGCCATAAAATGGCCTACTTTAATTAAAATTCTCCATCAATAAAATTAAAGTAGGCCATTCTTATTGCTCCCTTATTTCCATAAAACTTTTGTCTCAAATATTTGTTTCATATAAGACCGTGTTCTTAAGTTATTTGACAGTCTCGATTTAAATATTACACCCTGTATATTGAATGTACGATATGACATATAAAGCAATACTGTGAAGTATATTCGACTCGTATGAAATATTTGGAAAAATTTAGTATACACGTTCAAACCAAGTGTATCGACTGAAGTTAGTCCGTAGATTTGATTTGTATTCTAGGACCAAGTTCAGTTCATACGTTTGTACTGTGTAGTATGAACTTACGTACTGTACGAAGAATTGAAATATATAGAACAGCACTGTGGATATTCGATTCAGTGGATATGGCAGTGGTAACCAGAAAGTGATTGTCGTACTGCAGTAGCAATAGCAATAGTTTCAGCAGTATCAATATTGCAGTGGTACTATAGTGATATCTAGGCGATCCGAACTCCCGTTAGGTAGCTCTCGCAATTGTTAGCAGAATTCGTGGGTTATACCAAAGACATTACTCAGTCGTTCCACACTTCCGGGAAAACTCGAATGAAGTTACATTAGTACGGCGAATGACAATAACAATAATTATTATTATCATTTTCAGTATCCATCCGATTATTGACATTTAACCCTTTTAGTGCCGGGCGAAGACCCGGTGCCTATGCGAGAATAACCGGACGAATTTGACGAATTTTACAACGAGTTGGGAAAAAGGTCATGAAAATCAAACTAAAAATGATAATTACATAATTCAAAAAAACAGCGTATTACGGAAGGAAGAGAGAACAATGTAATGCTAATTGTATTTCAACATTTATCTTGTGATAGAGCTTTCTCGCGATGCGAAGAATCAGGTGCCCTCGCATACGCAACGATATATCGTAGTCCGACACTAAAAGGGTTGATGAAAATCGATATTTTTTTTTTCGTTGAAAAAAGTTAAAAAACACGTTTGAGCATCTTTATATTTCCAAACGGCGATATTCGCGACATTCGCAACACGGATTATGAAAATTTGGTCTCAGGGTAATGTTAAGAAATGTCTATAGCCGAGGTGACTTGGTCGATTGGGACCTCGGAGGCCTTCGAAAATGTCTAGACCAACGTCGAATAATCAATTAAATAGACATATTCATTATATGAGCCGCTCAGTGCACACATCGATTAACTCCACTTTTCAAGATCAGACTTTCAAAGATCAGCACCATTAAACGGCACAATTTTTTTGGCCATTGAATAATAAGTAATTTACAATATACATTGCTTCATCGCATTTCTCAACTTTTTGTTTTATGGAGTTAATCGATGTGTGCACTGAACGGCTCATATACGTGTCACGCTTCACTACTATTTTTTTTAATAGGGCAAAACCGAACTCAATGACTAATTCGCGTTTGTAATGCCAAAAAGCACAGGACGGGCAAAGTGACGCCACGTATATACAGGGAGTATAGGTGCACGCTTTGAGAAAAGAAATGTAAATAAAAAACAGGCAAATTAGAATGGAATGTTTTTACGTAACAGGCGATTCGTTCTGGCCGTAATGCGTTGATTGTGCGTCAACCTTGCCCTGGGATTGAGAGTGCAGACTGAATGGTGTTTGGCGATAGGCTACGTTCAGGAGATCGTTGACGTTCACTGCACGTTATTTAAATCCCAATTTGGACAATATCTCTCATTTCCTTTTTAATTACGATTTTTAAATAGAATTTTTCCACACATTTCGTCCGCCTTTCTCTCACTTTGTGTATACGTATGACAAGTTTTGAACTAATTGCAATTTTTTTTTTCTAATCATGGACTAGGGTATTTTCGTATTTTTTTACAAAGCCTTTAGCGAACCTAAAACTTCAGCTCACGCTAGTCATTGTGCAGCATATAGAATGCGGTACGGGTGTGTTGTGCTTATCGCGGCATTTCTTTGATCCTTATGTATATAACAGATATGCCTATATCCTATGGCATATTTACAAATGAATCAATGTCCTACCTACATAGTGAAATAGAGACGATGAATAATTGCATATCCTACAAGAAAGTAATGGGGATTAAAACATTAATTAATAGTACCATAATCGGAACTGCGTTAAACCGCTTTTCGTGCTTCGGCGAGGCAAGAGAGCAGCAGCGGCTGTTCATTGGCTATTTATATACTTGTGTTTTGATTTATTCGACAATCGATATGCAGAACTAATAGTGGTTAGGAAACACATTCGACCAGTAGCAGGTAATATTTCTGACAATCAATAATCGGCTCACTGAATATTCTCCTGTGGAGGAATAATCAATAGTATTAATCACGTGGTGTTATAGCATTGCCATTAGGTGTATCTATATATGTATATATATATATAATATTTACAATATATACGGAGGAATATAAATTGTGTATTGAAAAAGTGTAGAGTTATTTATATAAAAAAAGGAATATGGCACCATTATGTTCTCGCATGTAAAACGACGTAGCGACGTACTGTATATTTATATGATATTAATGTACATACGTATTAGCACATGTAACTTATTTCGATTTTATTTTCGCCCTTTTTACACTATTATCGTTTTACAGGATGCGACGCGAACGAATTTAATTGCGAGGACGCGTTTTGCATCGCACACAACTTAAAGTGCAATGGAAACGTGAATTGCGAATTGCGCTGGGACGAGGATGAGTCTACGTGTGGGGTGAGTGGCCATTTTTTATTTTCTTTTTTTTTTCCCAGTATTCCGCAGTATGCATCCATTGCACAATTTACAATTCAATACGATGCAATTGACGAGGTTCCCTGTTGTCCCAAAATTCAGGCTGCTACCTGCCTTCGGCCCTTTGCACTTGCTGCGAATTTTTTTCTGACCGATCACTCAAAATTTCGAATTTTGACGTCGATCGAAAACTCGAAAATTAAATACCTATAGGGCGTCGTTTATTTTGTTCTGATCGATGTATCGAAGTGGGGTGGGGGTGGGAGGTGAAAAAATGTAAAAAAAAACGTTATCAACAAGAACATTACGAAAGGAGATAAAAAGAGGCGGTGGTTTAGTGGAGGGTTCGAGGAGGTTAAGGGGAAGCTCGATTTCCGGTTCCGGGACGCACAACACAACTATCCTCTTGGCAAACTACCAGGAACATGGTTCCGAACCGGTCGCCATGGCACCAACTGGATATTAATCTAGGCGCCGAATAATGTCCTGGTATTGCGTCCGATCTGAATTACCAGTTTATACGGATTTATAATTTCTACCTCCTTAACAGCCCAATATTAGCTGTCACGCGGGATAAATTAATCGATAATTATTTTACATTGAGAACTGCCCTAAACGTATACATGCCACATAGTATCCGTAATTCCACGCGATGCATATTCATAAGCGGTTTGTAAATTTTCATAAAAAAAGTTTACACTGAAAATAAAAGCTCGAAAGTAAGTACAAAGCACAACAAGTAGTCGACTGTTACGCTTCCGTTGATCTCTGGCGAGAGAGAAAATAAATTAAGGGTGAAGAAAAAAATTCAAAAGGGAAAGTCGACTCAAAGTAAAAAAACATGCGGTGTTCGCGAATGTGAGAAAAAACAAGCAGCACGCCCGGCACTCATATGGTGCTTTTCGAATGGGAAAGATCTCTTGTTCGAAAAAACGGAAGTATTTCTTTCTCTTCGTTTCTCTTTAGCCTGCAATTCCGTTTGTCCGTCCGTACGTCCCGTGGCGCATTGCGCCAGACAGAGAGTTTCCCGTTCGGATGAATCGCCATGAAATAAACCACGAGAGACTCTCGCAGCCTCTTTCCTAGATGGGTCGGTACCTTTTTTTTAGTTTTATTCTTTTTTTTCCTTTCCTTCTCCTCCCTATCCTTCTTCTCCGCATCCGGTTGTCCGTAGGGAAAACTGAAGTCGGTACGGCCCGCATTTTTCAGGATTAAGCTCACGGTCGTGAGTTCGCCTCGATCTCGTTAAGCTCCAGCGCCCACTTTATCCCGCATTATCCACACTTCCGGCGCGCGTACAAACACCCAGTGGAATCCGCATCGAATCAGTCTGCGATTTCTTCAGGTTTTCAGAAGATTCCTCGAGTGGGATCGTACTTTGCTAGACACTTAAGCTCATCGGCGGATACTAGAGAAGTAGATGTTACGAGAGGGTTTCGTAAAATTTATGCGAAAAATAAAAAAGAATCAGAAAAGGGTTGCGTAGAGTTTTGTGTGTTTTTAAATGAAATGTTACCTCCTGTGGCAGGGCGGTTGCGGTGGGTGGTAAAATTTGTAGCGCCATTTGGAAAATGGCCAATGGAATTTTTTCGCACGTTACGTACAGCTTCGTGCTAATTTTATTCAGCGCGAATGAATCTCTCTCTGTCTGTCTGTCTGCCTCTTTCTCTCTCTCTCTCTATGGGGTCCATAATGTAATGAAATAACCAAATGATACAGTCATGCCGTATGACGATTTTACATGCAAAGGCTGATTTAGATTCCATTAGCGGAATCAAGAAGCTGGGCGTTTCTTTCGTTAGCGAGAGTTATGATATTTTTTAATGCTGAAATAAATATATCGTGTCATGACACAGCTCGGGGTGTAGGAGGATATGAAATTCTAAATTGCTAACAATTACCGTAAGAAAGAGGAAGTCATTGCTTTGGTAATATTTTACGTCACACAGGATACGTGTGTTACGGACGGACACGAATAGGTACTGGGTCACGTCGGTGTATGTAATCATAGCGATAAAGCTTTTGAAAGCTCATATAGACACGAAGAGAACAAGAGCAACAGAGTGGAGACTGGGAGAGGACGAAGGGTTGATGGAGAAAGATGAACATTTTTCGAAATTTTTCATCTTACACAAAATACGTGACAATCGTTTTACGAATTTATTTTCATTAAAAAAATATTTAAAAAATCTCAAGTCAGAGTATATCGACCGAGTTTTTGGATAGTATAAAATTTTCTGCAAAAAATCTTTTCGCGGATTAAGAAAATCAAAAAGATTTCACGGATTTTGAGTTTCTTTGAAAAGTTATGAAAAAATATTCTTTCGCATATACCCATACTTCGTTTTGAATATATTCAATGAAAAATTCAGATCGTATCGTCACGAACAAAGTACTTGGATTCGAAGTCGGAAATTTGTCTGAATTGAGACTTCGGGGATTCAAAGACTAGTGGCAGACATTTCACCGACGACAGTTTAAAGTCTTGCCGTGACTATGTGACGTGTACATGCGTGGATGAAGCATCTTAAGACAGTGTCTACCGCAGCGGTTAGGGTACTAGCAGATGAAGTACCAAGAGATACGCGGTTTCACAATGGCGGCTCTCAGGTCTGAAGAACGTAAATCTCAAGCACTCGCGAAGGTATTTAATGCCTGGCGGAAATCTGAGAAACGGGACACACTCGAGGCGAGAACTACCGCCGTGTCTGGGGGGGGTTGCTTTTACGTTGGACAGATATAGCTAGGGAGTTTAGTACTTGGGAAAGTCGTCTAGGGAAATCGGTATTACCAACTACAAGCCTTGGATTGGCTGGCTATTGTCAGCTGGACTAAAGTCGGCATTAAGACTCTGCATAATAATTGACATTAATGCTGGCTCGCATGAGAGTCTAGTTATCATGGAAGGTCTGTCCCTCCCTTTTCAAGTTACTTACTACAGTCCGTTTCATATAGTATAATTGGCACACGTCGCACGGAATTTCATTTCGTGCCATTAGAATTCTAGGGTACGTATGGAAATGATTGCCCCGACTGCTTGAATAAAATTATTTAGTTTTATTTGGCATTATTTTACTTTACGAATCGCCGGAGGATCAGTCAGTGGAAACGCATCGACCGAAGTTGGCTCTATCGTAGAAATCAATTGAACAGGCTAACTTCGGATATTGAATTTAGCCTAATTAACAAAAAAATTAAAAAATATATAACCTATGGAATAGCCTTTGTAATAGTACGTACGAATATTGTTAATTTTCTCTTCGTGATTAAAAGTTCATCACTCTCTTCTTTTTTTGCAGTTGAACAAGGGAAGTATGATTATAGACTCTGAACATATCATCATCATTCTCGTTGTTTTTTCATTGATAATGTTCGGCATGTGCTTCGCCTTTATCTTCAACTGCGTCAGGAAGCTCATTCGCGACCACCGAATAATACAGGTAATGTATAATAATGTATAGTACATTTGGACGAATTACAAATAGAATTGAATTCTGTCGAAGAATTTTTTTTCTCTGATACAAGACCGCACTACGTTTTTGTATAAAATGAATGTAAAATGGAATAGAATATGAATTCGAAGATATTAGGGAATAATAAAAATACGAATTCACCCTATCTCGTATACTCGTGTTAACGGAGTTGCATTTTACAACCCAAGTAGCTTGCAGGGTGCTTATGAACGTTCTATAAGCACTAAACAATACGATAAGATATCACATAGGAAAAAAATGGGAAAGAATAGGACGAAATTGAAATTCCAGTTGAATAAAGCGCGATTGAAAATCCAAGTTAACGATCGTATACGCAACTAATGGTTTTTATGCGAAAACAAGGAATTCAGAGCCATACAACACGTATACTATATCGTATAAATTAAATCCCTGCAGAAAAAACGCATTTATCTCTATAAAACGCAGCATGTAGCAAAATAATAATCTCGTATTGGCACTAGGGATTAAAAAGACGTACGGTAACAAGTGTAATCCCAGAAAATAAACTATCAATTGTATTTCTTAGTCGCGCATTCCATGTTCGGCATCGAATATGCCGATACAAGAATTTTCTAGTGATAAAATATTTCGAGGAAATTTCATCCCTAAATCTACCCCTGAACGTGGTTTTAAAAAAATAAAGTTTCCATAACCACCGCCACTTGTCCTGGTTAATAACAGAGGTTATATTTATGATTCGTTCTTAATGGTTTTGCTTTTTCAACCCCATTTGAAAATCTCACCGCATCCGTTACGCACCCCCGCAGACTAAATCGCCAAGACACATGGAGGGACGGGATTAGTCAGTACGCTCGTTAACGCAAGATTAAGCTCAGCGAATACAAATGTGCTTTTTTGCGGAAGGAAACTTTTTAACCGACTGTACCACAAGGGTTGACACGATGAAGTTCCGGGAAATTTGCAAAGATTCCTCAAGAGAGCGTACCCGCGCATTGTTCCCAAACCATTGTTTTACGCAATTATTGACAATTCCTTTTCTTGCACTTTAATTTCCCCAGGAACACATCAGACAGTCCAGGGAAAATCGTCTGGACGAAATTGGCCGGAAATCGACACCCTGTCCCATATCCGCTTCCAGAACGGATATCCACGATAGGAGCAGTGAATCTCCGAGTGTCGAAATGGTGCCCAGCAAGGAATTGCTGCCGCCCAATACAATAATAGCGCAAAAGTACACGGACTTGGTCCTGGAGATGCATTACAGTAACAAAGACATGCACGACATTCATCAGAGCAATAACGTCAGCAATGCGACTCAGGAACGTCTTCAGGAATCAAGCGAGGAGCCTGAGATGATAAGCAAGTGCTGTCAGACCAGAGAAAGTCTATTCGATCCAAGACTTTCGCAATCTGGTATATCACCTCCGACCCTGTCGACCTTTGGCTATCGTCAGGGTAGTCTGCAACAGAGTCCCAAGCTTCCATCGCAGCCTCAGAGTCTTCAGAGCTCTCAGTATTCTCATCAGTCACAGTGCTCCGGATGCAGTCCAGCTTCCAGAGGACGAGACGGTACCATGGGTATATGTCCACATCACAATCCGATACCTGCACCTCCTGGATGGTCCACCCACGAGATAGCGCATCCTTTGCACTTCCCGGAAACGACTGATTATCCAAGCTATCAAAGATTCCAGTCGCCTAAACCAATCAGAGAGAACTTCCAGTCACCGACCCGTACAAGGCAACCTACCGTAGGATCTGGCGAACGTTACGGAAGTTCGGTGTATGGCTCTGGTCAGGAGTCCAGCAATACCGGAAGTAACGGTAACAGCAACTCCCAGCACTCCGCCACCCCGAAATTCAGCGATCCCAGGTACAGGGCGGAGGCTGTTATAGAAGTGGACCAAAAGCGACCGTTCAGTATAGGTAGGTACCCGATCTTAGTTGTTGTTGTTGTTATTACTTCACTTAACTTAAATATATCTATAGAGAGTACCAAGAGTGCGCCGGATGTTATCGCAACGCACTGACGTCGGGGCGTTGGGGATTGGGAGCCTTATCGGAGACGCCATCCCCGGCAGAATACCGACGACAGCCAACAAAGAGTAAGCGTCGCGACGCAAAGCTCTCTCGACGATGATGCCTCGACGACCTCGACAGCGGAACTGTCCTCTTCCTGATTAACGTGCAAAAGGAGTCCCGGCCCGATCCTGAAGCCTCCTGAGCGTTTCCGGCCTCTACGTTGTAGAGCGTCTTCCTTGGCCTGGCAACACTGCAAGTGCTCAGGACATTCGCACTTGCCCGTGAGGCCACCTGCGATGTCCTGTTGCGTCCTTAGGCATAAGGACATACCCATGTACAGCACGTGGCCAAACAGGACCAGCAGACAAAGAGCCGCTAGAGTCCTGCTGTTAAATCGAAATTTAATCGAGGATGAAAAGATGACTCGGGAGGGTCGTGATCATGAAGTCGGTGCCTCCATTCCTTTTTAGGGGTCAAAGATAACCCGGATGATCTCAATGCTGATAATCTGGTATCTATCGATATTTCTTTTTTTTTTTTCAATATTTTCACGTCTTTTTCATTCCGGGGTTTATTAAATGCGGGAAGTTCTAGGTTCTCTCGCTTTTTTTTTTTTTTTCTTTAGCTTGTATCCATTGCGCATAACTTGAAACGATTCTATTCTCGGGGATTTTGTTCCGTGAAACATGAAGAATATTCTCTTGCGACTGTCTGGAGTCTGGCGGAAATTGGACGGATGCCGAAACCCAATCGGGAACTAGGCAAGCAGATTGTTGTAATAATAGTCCTTATGATGAGAATGGACCAATGCCGTGTGGCCAACAGGTTTTCATGTGTATGCTTCGAGAAGAATGGTATAGATAGGCTCAGGTGAATATTCCAAATGAAATTGAAAATATTCCAGGTCGTATATTGGAACAGAATTATCCACAAGAGGGATTTGTCTGATCAACAAAAAACCCAAGGGGAAGAATATGGATAATTCCTTAAGGTAGAATCCCAGAGTGTATCGTAAAGACACTTCGTGCATTAGATACCAGATATCCTGGTATCTATGAACGTACACGATTCGATTTTTCTTCATGTTTAAAAAGTTATCAAGAACAGACCATACATTTTGTAAGCCCAGCAGAACTCGGAATGATTTATGATCTTGCAGGATAAAGCGATATTCAAGTGAAAGTAATTTACTGAATAAAAAAATTGAATAGGAAAAATAATACAAAATCAACGAAGATTATCTAAGTGAAAATTAATTAAACGTGTTCCGCGCCGCGATTTTCTTTTTCTTTTAAATGCATTGTTTTTTTTTTTTTCAAAATAAAACCAGAAGTCTGACCCCCTTAACATATCCTATTAGAAACGTAGAAAATATTTTTTCGATGCTTCCCGTAAATATTATTTTCAAAAATTTTATTAACAACGTGGCGCAGTATGGATATTTAATAAATTTTCGCAAATTTTTACTTTTCCACTCTTGTCATCCCGTCTTTACACAGAAACAATTGACACGCGACTAATCGACCTACTATGCAAACGTATCGCGACGTAAAGGCAAAAAAAGGACGAAGAAATGAAATTAGTCAATTACATGTTAAAAGCGAATGAACGCATGTGTGGCAAAGCTAAAGCACATCCGCGACTGTTTGAAAAAAGAGAAGACGATCAAGTTGAATAAAATAATTATAGTTAGTTCACGACATAGATATTAGCACAAGATTCCTGCTTATGTACAGGTTAAATGTTAATACAATTATTACATAGCGAGGAAAGAAAATTGTACAGCGTGTACACATTTGTATATAAATTATCCATATAAAGAAAATGCGACACCGATTAAAGGGGTAAAAAAAAGTGGATCAAAAGGATCGATAATAAATAGTACTTTTAAATTAATTTAACGCTCGCCTCTAATTTTTCCTAGATCCTCGTCCGATATTATTAATTTTCAAAATTTCCTAATTTTGTCCAAAAATTCAAAAATCCTCCAACGAAATCGAAGATTCCCCAAACGCTGATTGCACCATTTCGATATCTCCAGCTTACTTCAGACGTCCGATAGCAACTTCTGCCACGTGGTAAGTAAGTACAGAATAAGTAATCGTGTTAACTGGGTCCGACGTGAAAATACGACTGGGAGTAAACGAGCTTGCAAGCACGCTGACCCTCGAACTCTCTACGTGGGTTGGCCCCTTAAAAGCGATGCAACTTAATAAAGTGAATAAAGTGAAAAATCCCGTTCTCGTACAGACAGTGCACAGTGCACTTTTGAAATGGAAACTCGAAGGCGCTTAGAGGGTGGTGAGAAAATAATAAAAAGAAAAGCACTGAAAGCTTATTTCCTAGATTTAGTACTAAGGGGCAGAGTAGATAGCGGTAACAAAACCTATTCCTGATAACTCCTACTACGCTAGATACGCCAGGAGGTATACCAGCGTGGTCTGAGCATTTGCAGGCTGTATCTACTACTGGAGAACGTCATATGGCATATATGCACACATATATCTACGGTACAGGCGAGGTTAGTATGCTTCTGGAATATCAAATGGGGAACCGGAAATGGAGATCGTTGAATTATACGATTGAACCGGATAAGCCCAAGGGGTATTATTAATTATGATTTAAGAACTGACGTAAAGCCCAATAATCGTTACTGTTGATCTCGAAGATATTAGGACAAGTGATTATTGACGTTAGATTCAACCTGAAACGCCCTGTATGGATTTCCGGTGTACGCTACTTTTCAACGCTATTCCAAATCCTTAGGATTCTACGTGGCTTCTGCGCCTTCCGTAAATTCATCCTGAGTCAGGCAGACGCGACTAACGAAGACGAATGAGAATTCGGCCGGGTTGCAGTTTTTCCTAGAACCCAATTCGCAAACCCATACTACTTTATTGCTCTACCACGCTTCCACATAGCGACCATTATTTTTATCTCTTCCGCATAATTTATAATTTATCTGTACACCGCGCGTGTCGGAGCTAATGGCCTGCATGAAAGATGCGGTCTGCGTCGATTTGCGTTGCGTAAATTTACCATGGAAGAAATATCCTTGTAAACGTTTACAGTCTTGTATTTCTTCCTCGCCCTTCTCCTTTCTCCGTAATAAACGATTCCCTTGGAATAAATTGATAGCCAATCATTGGCACTGATAAAAAGAGGGGGGAGGGGGGGATACTTGATTGTAAGGAAGATTGATACAATTTCAGAATGGATAAGATCAGCTGTGTAGGACAGATAATTTATCTTATTTAGTCTTATTAGAAATCCCTTTTGTACTTCTCCCCAAGGTAAGGGAGGCGGGGGGGGGGGGGATTGGA